CACTATGAGTGGTGCTGGCGTGTTCTGACACGCGATGAGATGCCACCTCACACCTGTGATGGCCACAGCCCGAACAGTGGGGGGTCGCGGTGACGACGTGAAATCGGAGCCGCCCTGCGTGGTTGCAGCTGCATGGCAGGGCCTGTGGTTCCCGGCAGTGTGAGGCACAGAGCCGCCCCTTCCCCAGCAGGTCCGCTCCTGGTGTGTGGCATGGCCTCAGGAGCGGGCGCACGTAGGTTCACGGCTGCCAGAGTGGGCGCGGTCCGAGAATCTGACCCGTCCACCTGGCCGTGCCTGCTGTGGGGCCTCACCCGGCTAGAGCCAGGAGCCAGGCTTGGAAGCCTCACGCTCAAGGGAGGAAGCCGGACACAAGGGGTCTCACATGGTGGGACGCCACTTACGCGAAATGCCAGAACGGGCCAGCCCAGAGGCCGGGAGTGCACTGGTGGGTGCCAGGGCGGGCCAGGCGGAGTGGAGGGAGACGGCCTGAGGGGCATGAGTGTCTTTCCGGGGTGAAAACATTCCGAAATGGCTGTAGAAAGCTTACGTGCTGGTACACGGCGTCGTGCACGATGAAGTTGTATGTGACGCTGCTGGGTGCCATCTCCAGCGAGCCTGGCGCATGGCAGATGGGAAGGGACAGCACAGGAGGGCGTCCAGGCCTATGCTGGCCCTCGGGCCACAGGAGAGTGACCCTGAGGGCAGCCTTGTCCTCGGACCTGATGGGTGAGTGCTGGCTGCATGCAGGCGTCCGTGGCCGGCTGGGGGGCCTGGTGTCCTGATGGAGGGCCACATGCTCACCAGTTCCAGCAGGGAGGTTTGGGGACCCGCTGACACCCACACATCTGGGACCAGGGCCCAGCCAGAGACCCCTGGGTATCCCCTTCCCTGGGACCTCAAAAAACAGGCTTCCTCTTAGCCTCAGTGGGTGCTTCCCAAAGAGCAAGAACTTGGATAGAGCCGTCACCCACTCATTCCTTCATTCACACACTAACATTCCCTCGTTCACACTTATTCACACACTAACATTCCTTCATTTACACACATTCATTCACACACTAAC